GACCAATGCTCGACTCGACTCGACTCATTTTAGAGCTCGAGCTAGAGCTCGAGCAGTTACAGAACAAAAGTCAATTCTGCTTGGTAAGACCAATGCTCGACTCGACTCGACTCATTTGCAACTCTATACCCACACACGAAATAAATATTTTTGTTACATTATTGAATAACAACTACTTTATTTTACTAGGGGCTAGGACGGATAATTATTGTTCTTTATATATGTTTGCCTTTTTCTTTTCTCCCATTTTTTTTTTCCTTGTAAATAATATATTAGTTAGTTACAAAACAAAATAAAACATGATATGACATGACATGACGTCTTCTCATAATTTTCAATGGTAATTTGTATTTATGTTCATTTTTATTTTATTTGGCATCTCTCAAACATTTGGGAGATAGCCAAACTATAGACATGGCCAAATTCAAGGCCGGCCTCGGGCACCGGCCCGGCGGGTCTTCAAGCTCAAAAACAGCGACCTTGAAGCGGTCCTTATCTAGGTACATGCCGGACCCAACGGACGGTCGGGTCTGACTCGGATCTCAGGCACATAAAAAAACGAAAATCGTTGTTTTTTTCTCCAGACGACGCGAATCAACCGGTCCGATGGTTCAAATCTTCAAATGGCCGACCCTAATCCGACCCGATTAAAATGCAGGCCGAATCCAGATCCATTGACCACGGGTCTGAGCGAACTGGGTCGGGCGGCCTGTGGCCATCTACCTAGCGAGCTCCATCGATTGTTAAAGTCTACCAAATTCATAATTTTAAACATATCGATATGTCATATATTTTTTTAAAATAAAAAGCATATAGTTTGAAATGTTACACTTTTACTTATGTTATTTTTTAGAGTATAATATTTTAATATAAACTTATGCAATATATGTTAAAAAAAAATGTGAATGTCTATTAGTTAGGTATGTCTGACATATGTATCACCATTAGTGTTGTTAAATTAAACGAGTCTGGCTCGGCTCAACTCAAGCTCGACTCGTTAAAGCTCGAGTTTGGCTCGACTTTCGAGGCCTTAACGAGTCCAACTCGAGCTTATTTAAAGTTCGTTTGGTTAAAGAGCTCGGGTCGGCTCGATAAGACTCGTTAAGGCTCGAAAAGAGATTTTTTATATAATTTTTTATTGTTCGGCTCATTAAAGCTCGAGATCGAGTTGTTAAGGTTCGAGCTGAAGACCTTATCGAGCCTAGCTCGAGCTCGATTTCTAACTTGTTAAGGGCTCGAGCACCCTAAACTCAAGGTTGGCTCGACTCGGCTCGACTCGTTTACAGGCCTAGATCACCATTTTACTTCTACTTTGTTGGATTTCCTCTTTGCCTTCAACACTAGGACTAAATGGAATCTTCCCTTCATTTATGTTCTTTTCTCATTTCTCAAAACCTTCATTTAGAATTTGCCGAAATGAGACCATAAAATGGAATAAAGGAAAACGCGGAAAAGAATAATATTGGTAAAAAATTCGTAAAAAGTCCAAATCCACGAGCTCACGAGTATATAAATTGTGTAGGTTGCGAAATTTATTGCAATATAATGGAACAAATGAAAGAAAATTCAATCACACCGGTTTGCGAAACTTATTGCAATATAATGGAACAAATGAAAGAAAATTCAATCACACCGGTTTGGACCCGTTTAAAGAGTAAACGCAAAATATGTATTTTTGTCAAAGGTCCATCAATTCTATAACCACGAAAATTTCAACATGTTGTGGCTGAATTAGTCTTCTGAAGATTTTCTACTCGAGTCCATTCATAAATCACAACACAACTGTCTGAAAATGATTGGAATTCAAAATTGGAACATCTCTTGTTATTGCAAGAAAATCCACTCCACAACTAACACAAAGGTGTAGTGTATAAAATATCTCACTCTATTTTTTATATCAATTCCTTAATTCACTTTATTATTACGGTTGTTTTTAGGTGAGCCTAAGAGTTAGACAATTATAATTTTCATTAAATATATATTATTAAATTAAAATGTCATAATATGAAAAATAATTTAAATAAAAGTATAATATTTTATAATGTTGGGATATTTAGCCAAATATCAAACCCCTATCTCAGGCCCAAGGAAGCTCGGCTCATTCTCTTCTGTGTGATAAAGAATAATATCTACCGAGCAAAATATGAGAGACATTCAAATCAAGAAAAGAGACTACGATAGAATCGAACTTTGTGAGTGTGACTTGAAAAACTGATGGAATGGGAAAATAAAATCACCGAAATTTCGCCGGAAAAATAGAGTTATTGACCTCCAAACCAAAGCACAGAAAGAAAAGCGAGAAAATGGGGAGAATTTCCTAACTTAGAAGTTGGGAAATGAGGGGGTTGTTCCAGAATTACAAAACAAGATGTGTATATATAGTTACACACAAACACTCACTAAAACACACACATTTAATGAGGACAACTCGCAGGCAGCAGGGGCCTTCGCGGGCGCAGGGAGCGGACTCGCGAGCATGATAACACTAGCGCGCTGGGTCGCGGGCGCGGGTGGAGACTCGCGGGCGTAGGAGCACTCGCAAGCAAGGTCGCGCGCGCTGGAGTTAGGGTGGAACAAGCGGCTTGAACTCGCGGGCAAGGATGGTTTCGCGGGCGCAATAACAATATATGATCTATCAAATCAACCCGCCGTCGCGATCGGGCAGGAGCATGACGCGACACTCGCGACTTCTGGTGCTCTCGCGGGCACGAAGTGGAGTTCCGCGGGCAATGGGTAGCATCGCAACCGCAGCCACGGCAGCTTCCGCGAGCGTGGGCCTTGCATCTCGCGGGAAGTTGCGTTCCACGAGCGCGGGTGAGGACTCGCGCGCGCGAGCGTGGGTTGTTGGAAGTGGGCGCGCGGCTGGCCTGCTTGGGTGCGTCAAGTGCGTAGGTCCATACCCGGTCATGGCCCGGGACGGCTCAGGTGGCTCGATTGGCTCAGTCAGGTCGGCCGGGTCGGCTCAGTCAACTTGGCTCGGACGACTCGTTTTTCCAAGCTCGGAAGAATGGACCTAATCAACACAAAAAAGACAAGAAAATACACCAAACTACGAGAACACAAAACGGGAGCAAAAATACACGAAACACGATAAAAATTGACCGATCGACACTAAAACGGACCTAAAAACACTCAACTAAAACACGTAAAACACACGAAAATAAGCACAAAAATACAATAAACACCAATCTGGTTATCCTGACCAATCTGTATTGCTCGAATTTCACGAAACATTCTTCTCTCTCCAAACGAGTAGAAGCAGCTACAAACCGACTCTTCGTGTATCTCCAGAACAATGATACTGGGCAAACTCTTCTTCGGTGACTCGTCGTAGAGATCAATCAGGCTAAATCAACAATTTAAACTAATAATTACTAAACAACCTTTTTAAATTCATATAATTTATTAATTATTATAACATAATTACAATTATTACTAATAATATTTACGCAAACTAATCAAAATTAATATTATTTACTATTTCATAAAATACATTATTAATTATTACTACTAGTTATTTTCTTAAAAAGTATTAAAAGTCAATTTAGAATTTATTCTTAAACACATCATTACGATAATTATTTTTTATTATATAATTATACAAACTAAATAATTATTACATTATACAATTTTTTCAACTTCTATTAGACTAGTAATTATAATTTAACTAATATATATATATAATATATTAATTACAGAGAACATATTAATTAAATAATTAAATCAATTCTATTTTTTAATGTTTAAACATATTTTAATTATTTAAAAATAACTACCTAAATCAATTTTATTTTAATTATTTAATAATAACTACCTAATTTAATTATTTAAATTGCGAAAATAAAAAAATATTATGGCCGACCGCCGAAGAAGACGGGCTTGGGCTTGGACGACCGCTTCTGGCGCGGCCGCAATACCCGGGCCGCCTGCGCGAGAGCCGGCCGCGATCAGCGGCGGACTTTTCCTAATCGGCCGCGATCCGAGGCCGGCCATATCCAAATCGGTCGGCATAGGACGCCGACCGGAGCCATATCCAAATGGGGAGACGGTGGAGACGATTGGAAAGAGAGAGAGTGTAGAGAGAAGAAAGAGAGATTGGTTTTTTTTTTTCAAAAAATTGAAAAGGACAAAATGATCTTTAGGCGACGATAAGTAGTAGTAATAAGGAAAAAGTATTTAGAGGGTGTATTCTAGGATTTCTAAGCACTTTTTAAGACTTTAGGAATACTTTAATTTAGATTTGTCAAGACTTTTAAAAATCTTGAGTATTCAGTTTGGATTTTAAAAATTCTTACAAAGTACTGAAGTATTTATTTTATTTAACACTAAGATTTATAAAGACATTTTAAAATATGGTAGGATTTCTAAACAAGATATCCTTATACGAAATCCCACTTAAATTCGAAGTAAGATTTCATAAATTTTTTCAAAATATAAAAATTCTACAAAGTCTTAAATTTTAAAATTCTTAAAAAATCTTAATTGAAGTTCACTACAATAACTGATTAAATTTAAGTAAGATTTCATAAATTTTTTCAAAATATAAAAATTCTACAAAGTCTTAAATTTTAAAATTCTTAAAAAATCTTAATTGAAGTTCACTACAATAACTGATTAGTGCACAATCCTATAGGCTTTTAATCACACGCGCGTGAAGAGGCGTGGGAATTGTTACCCTGACAGCCCATTGCTTTTGATAAGGATACCCATTGGAAAAAAAACCCTAACCCACCGCCTTATCTCAAACAAACCGCCCACCTAAACCGATTTACCCAAACTACCTCTACTCTCTCATTCGTATTTACAAACATGCCATCGCCGTTTCCACCTATATAAACGTTGCTTCACTCTGCCTTAGGTTTGCCAAAATAGATAGCCAAACGGCACTCGTAAAAATCTCTCCCAATAAATTATAATTAATTAATTCATTTTTCTTTTTCTTTTCATTATAAAAAATATATATATATTTTCAGTTGGGCCAATACAAAGTACAAACAGCAATGGAGACGAGGAACAGATCGTCTCAAGGTACAACTCTCCATCAGCGGTCACTGTCGCCGTCCGGCCGATTCTGCTCGTCCTCCATCTCCGCCACGTCCTCTCACGGCTTCGCGACCCGACCCGACCCCCGATCCGATTACATGTACCCCCGCCCCACGAGCCCGACCCGGGTGACCCTCGGCAGATCCGTTTCCCCATCCCAGTCGGTCCGATTCTCCGCCTATAGGAACCACCCGATCGCGTCGCACCACCACCAGAGGCAGAGTCGCGGCCGGCCCCTGAATTCCGGCGTGAAGAAGACGTGCATGTGCTCCCCCACGACGCACCCAGGCTCCTTCCGGTGCAGCCTCCACAAGAACAGTCCGGTCCCCGGGTATAGCAGCCAGGCAGCGGCGCCCTACCGCTCGAGCCATCAATTAAACATGAGGAGATCGGCGATGACAAACTCGCTTGTTCGAATCGGTACGGTGGAGGGCGATTTGGTGAGGAGGGCCCTGGCGGCGTTGATTCGGCCGTCGTCCCACAGCCTCCGACGGCGGGGCGATTTCCAGCCGCGGCCGAGCCGGCTGTCGGTTATGTCTAAGGCCGAAAATTTGTTATAGAATTTCATATTCGTGAAGTTTCTGTCCCTTTCTTCCTTGTACAGGAATGACTTAGTGAGTCGGCTCGCTGAGTCAAATCGGGCGATTTAGCCTTTTTTTTTCACTTTTAGGAAAGGAAACCTGAATTAGAGTAGAGTTCTTGTTGCAGTGAGAGAACCAAGAGGGTTATCCTTTTTTATTTTTCTTTTTTTTTTATTACCCTTTTTAAGATTTTAATTGAAACTAGTACAACACAATACGGTTGTTTACCAATTTTTTTTCTTAAAATCTAAAATTAATGAGAAATAGTAGTTTGAAAATTTAAATACCTTTTATAAGATTATATATTTTATTATATATTTATTATGACATTTTTTATTTGTGGAACTTACTTGTGTTATATTATACTAATTTTTTTTTTTAACTTACAATATATAACTATATTACATATAAATATATCAATTGAGAAATAATTTTATTTTTCTAATGAATTTTAATAAATATTATTATTTTTTATTATTATAAAGATAAATATAATTTATTTATTTTATATATACAATACGAATGTCAAATTGAAGATTATCAAAAGATGATTAATTTGATATATTATATATGTAAAATCGATTAGAAATAAAAAAATTATCAACTTTTAAAATACATTTATAATTCAATAGCTTATTGAAAGAAACAAATCAAAATTTAGGGATATATTAGTCACTTAGTGCCTCACTATGTAAAATTACAAAAAATTAAAGGGTTATATTAGTAAAAGTGTTATTAAAATACCTAAGTTAACTAAATAATATTTATGGAATACCCGAACCAAGATTATTAATTATTAATATATCAATATTATTTATCCAAATCTAATTACGAAGCAGGATTCTTCGCCAAATAAGATTCCGAAGCACCAGAAACAAACACGTAAGCTCAACGCATTCGAGAATTATATATATAGGGAGGATGGGGAAATGATAATATTAGCATATAGGATTCTTACACTGGTGTTAGGCTATCTAATTTTATAAATTTGCATATAGCATTCGATAATATGACATGTATTATTACTACTAATAAGTGTCGTTTTGAAAAGTTGTGCAATAATTAAAAATATTTTTTTGTCAATACTAATATTCATTAATGGGGATATAGAAGATATAATTAAAAAATGAAGAATGAACATGAAAAGACGTAGTGTATTTGTTAGCTAGATAATGGTAATAATGAAAAAATATATATAAAAGATTAAAAAAATATTTATTTAATTAATTATTAATAAAATTAAAATGACATTAAAAAAAAGTAATACTCCCTCCTATTTCTTTTAAATGTCATTCTAGCTTTATCAACTATTTGTCAAATAAATGTCGTTTTGGATCTTTTCTACATATTTTTTCATTATTACCTTCATTTAGCTAATAAATACATTACGTCTTTTTATATTCATTCTTCACTTTTTCTCAAAACATTCATCTCTATCTTCATTAAATAAGATTATTATTGATAAAAAAATTATTTTTAATTAACGTGTAACTTCTCAAAACGACATATATTAAAAATAGGAGGTAGTATAAATTAGTATGACATAAATTGCGCTAACATTTTGGGCAACTTTTGAATGGAATCTCGTCTTTCGATTATCGTATGGTGTGAATGAATAGTGTTTGGTGGGTCTGATGCAAATGTTTTGCCGCTTTTGGCGGTTGAAATTTGATTTATTTTTTTTTCCCCACTTATTATATATAGAATCATAATAATATTTATTCAATGAGTTGTGACTTGTGTTACAACTTGTATTATAATGTGGACTTTTTCTTTTCTTCCCACATAAGTTTGTGGGGCTGATATAGCTAATTAGTACCCAATGGTTGGTTCTATTAGGTAAAATTTATGGTGTGTGTGTGTGTGTGTATTCATTTCTTTATGAAATTATATCTAACTCGCCAGAAATTGGGTATATTAGTCTATTTTAGGAGGCACATGAGTTTTGGGTGCCTAGGTTGGTAGAGGTTAGAGGTAATGCCATTATGCTTGGTTGGTGATTCCCAATTAAACTTTAAGGGTGGGATTGGGTACCCAAAAATTATATGGTGATGGTTTCTTGGATCCACCACTTAATGTATTGATACATGTCGAAATTGTATTGATTGTAGAACACGTGTCAATACATTATTGGTGAATAAGTGTGAATGACTCTGTATGTTGAGCCATCTGATGGCTCCATAGCAACATTGAATATAAGTCGGTTAAATTTTAAGGGAACGGTTGGTATATGTTTTTTTTGGATGTCATTTGAATTTACTGAATCAAGTGAATTAATGTTGAAAAATTGTGATTGCAGGTTGGCTAAATTTATTAGATTTTTAGACTCGGGAGAAAATGAGGAGAGTCTAAATTCACGTTAGTGAGGTTTTATTCTAAAATCAGTTTGTCCCAAAATTGAGAGTAGGATGGCGGTAGAGCTCCTTAAAGCATAGAGAATACTTTTTAAAATCAAAGTAGAATAATGTGTTACACAATGTGTGTTCTGAATTACAACGGGACCTATGAACTGACTGAAATGTTCAGTTCGTACAAGAAGAACTAAAAGAAGATACAACTCGAATGCGGACAGATTAGAGCCGAGGCGATTGAAATCTTTCTGCAAGACAAATACGCCCCGTATAGTGCTGACGGGTCTGTGCGTAATGCCCCCAAAGATACAACGGCTAAACACTCGGAAGCTGTAGCACACCAGCCTTCAGAGTTCCGGCGAACGGGACTGAAGTCAAGAACTGAGCACTTTTGATATGATGCGTGAGGCTTTGATAGTATTCAGATGCATGAAAATATGATGTGTGTTCTCTGCAACTCAATGTCCTATTTATAGGACTTCCACATCTGAGGGAGAACCAAGGGTTACACCAGCCACTTAAGGCTGAGATAAATGGCACCATTATTT